CAGACTGCAGTGTGTGCACGTGTTCAGGGTTTCTCTATTCCATCACCAACGAGGGTGACGCTCATCAGGATTTATACTATAATGAAACATGAACTTCAAAATCACCCTAAGATTGAGGTTATAATTCAACATTAACGTTTTTGCTTATCTGACATGAAGTCAGCCTACACCCACCAAAGTGTTACATCACTTGTTACGCTGCCTCCTACCACCTGACTAAACCACACCCCTGTCTAATCACACATAAGAGCATCTTCATTCAAACATCAGTGTTCAGCACAGGACATGAAGGCCTAACGAGACCTTTCACTTCTCCAGAAATATTTATCTTTCCCATATTTGAATGAAGGGAATGTTCAGAATTGACACATTTTCCTTTTTAATATCTCAAACCTGCTATTTTTTTTGTCTTCATACATAACTTGACATCTACACATAAGATGTGTGCAGCTTCATACAAAGCGGTGGCTATACTGGCCGTGTTAACTGGGTGGGCAGTAAAAGTCTCATGTAGTGCTACATTTTGATAGCACACATAAATGTTACAAAACGTAACGCTCAGCAGGGTCTTTCACCTCTCTCTTTTTATCCATTTTAGAGTAGGGAAAATAACACGTTTGTACAGCATGCAAGAAAACAACATGATTTTTGTACCAAACTGCATGTGATTACCATAAAGCGAGCATGTCTTTAGAGCAGAGGCTGCTGGGTATCCCTAGAACCTATTACAGTACAGTCAGAAATCTTGAGGTCAGAGGTCAAGGGCCCCCTGTGGTTATAGCCATGTCAGCTCATCCCTCGCCAACAATGTGCTTAGGTTATTTCCTACAAGCTAGCACCACATGATTGGTACCGATGTATTCCTCAGGTTCTTCTAGTTCCTTATAATACCAGTACTTTGCTTTAGCTTTAAAACGTTGCGATGTGTGTGGTTAAATGGTGTGAGTTCATGTCTAGTGTAAAACCATTTTGATATTTTGAAATGTGTTAAAACAGACACAGTTGGTCACAGGGCTGCCGGACAAATAATCTGCAGGTGAGCCAGGCCTGAGTCCAAAAGCTGATGTTTAGAACATTATTAGTTAAGACAGATACTTCACTGACAGCACAATGGAGGTTTTTGTTTTATTCCACGGGATATATTACATAACAGTCTCTTCACATGGTTTTAGAGGACTAGCATCCTCTAAGCCAGCGGTTTTCAAAGTGTGAGGCGCGCCTCCATGGGGGGGCGCCAGAGAGCTTCAGGGGAGGCGCAGCGTGAGAAAAAAATAACGAGAAAAAGATAAGTAAAGTTTCACTTGCACACTTTTGGCTGTCTGTGGAGACCGAGTTCCCCCACCTCGCCAAAAAGGCTGTAAAAGTGCTCATTCCCTTGACCTCCACCTACCTGTGTGAGTGCGGGTTTTCCGCATTAACTTTGATCAAAAGCAAGTACCGGTCAAGGCTGCAGCCAGAGGATGATCTGCGTTTATTCCTGTCTACATTGCATCCCCGCCAGAGTCCTGCACGGGTCTGATTTTCAAAACCCGCTCCTGCGACGTGCAATACCGAACCTGCCCCGCCACCCGCACATATTGCCAATTAGTTCCGCAAACCGACCCGACCCGTCGGCACAAGATCCGCAAACCGACCCGAACCCGCATATCCTATGAGCAGTGAAAACATGCAATTATTAACACACGCAGTTGCATATTTGGCTCAAAAAGCGTGGGATGTTGGTTATTTTCTCCATCTACAGTAGGAGGACACCAAAAGCCTCCCAGACGCTGGATTTCGCTCTTGAGCAAGTGTTATTTACAATGCTGTATTCTCCGCTAGAGAGCTTCACCTCAGCCATTTCGAATGTGGCGCGCTCAGCAGCAGATTGATGCGGTGCAGAGGTTATGATTATGCGCGGTCCCGCGGGGGAGAGGTCTGAAGAATCTTTAAACATTAAATTAAATTATTATTTAAATATATTTATTATGCAACACCCGCGACCCGACCGGCATCATCTTTGTTTTACCCAGAACCGAACCCGGAAAAAAATGTTTGAAAAAATACCATCCGCGAATCACTTTTTTTGCGGGAACCCGACCCGATGCAGGACTCTGATCCCCGCATCATCCGCCTGTGCGCATCAAAGACGCAGACTCATCGTTCCCACTATAGAGTGGCGAAGTCACGCCCACTTACTTCCGGGTAATGGGACCTTATTTCGGAAAAATTATGCATTGAAGTCAATGGGGAGAGAAAACTTATCTTTCGATCCCGTTTGAATTGTGCCATGAATTACACATATGATGTTTGTCAATCTTAAAAAATCATTTCCATGTCAAAAAAGTCACAGTTTGTTGTAAAACTGTTGAAATATAAGACTATGAAAAATACGTAACTAGAAAGACTACAAATCCCAGAGTCGCGTAAGTGATGTCACAATTGTTTTCCTCCACCATTCAGATACCTAAGATCAGCGCAATATAGATATAATCTATCTATATGGCGCTGGCTAAGATAAGATAACTTTAACAAGATGCCTGTGTGCTTAGTACCAGGTTGTTATTATACCAGCAATGGGTCTTGCTCGTTCTTTTGCTTCCCGTCTGATGAAAGGACCAGGAGTGGCTTGATCAAGTTAGCTACCTAGCTAGTAGCTAGCACGTTAGTTAGCATTACAGCCTTGTCATTTTTATTAGCCTTAACATGAAGTAACATTAAGTAACCCAAAATGTTAAACAGTAAGAGTAGTAGTCATATTTCGTGAACCCTTTGAATAGTACTGTCACCGGTGTGATCATTCTATAATACACCATTTAAGCCCGGGGGAGAAATGCTAACGCTAACGTTAGCATCGGCGATCTTCTCTACTTCATGCTATATGCACAAATGGTTGACATTAAACATTAAAACGACCAGGCAGTTCAGAGAGAATCAAAGGAAGGCAGGCAGGCAGCTTTGCATGACATTCTTCAGGACGTGTTTCATTGTGGTGATAGTGAGGGTAGTCAATCGTTTTGTTGACAAGACAGTAGTGACGGCCTACTTGGTGACGTAAGTTGTTCTGTGAGACCAGAGATGTAGTTCATTGAGCGTTTCACACAAACAAATGTGTTACTTCACAGTTTTATGACACATTTTTTTTTTTTTGACTTGCAAAATTATCTTTTAAATTGACAAACATCATATGTGTAATTCGTGGCACAATTCAAATGGGATCGAAAGATAATCTTTCTCTCTCCATTGACTTCAATACATAAGTCCCCTCCTCTTCCGGTGGACCTCCATGGGACCTTATTTCGGAAAAGTTATGCATTGAAGTCAATGGAGAGAGAAAGATTATCTTTCGATCCCGTTTGAATTGAGCCACGAATTACACATATGATGTTTGTCAATTTAAAAGATAATTTTACAAGTCAAAAAAATTTAAACGTGTCGTAAAACTGTGAAGTAACACTTTTTTTGTGTGAAACCGCTCAATGAACTACATCTCCCGTCTCGCACCAAGACGGCCGTCACGTTGGCACATTTCACTTCTTTCTTTCAGAATGAGGCGAAAAGTATTAAAAGAGGTGAAAATCACTCCAAGTCTGGGCATGTTGAGAGCTGTGCATACACACAAGGGGAGTTAGTCGGTTCCGTAAGAGCCAGCATGCGGGACCGGGATTCTGGGATTTGTAGTCTTTCTAGTTGCGTATTTTTCATAGTCTTTTATTTCAACAGTTTTACGACAAACTGTGACTTTTTTGACATGGAAGTTATTATTTAAAATTGACAAACATCATATGTGTAATTCGTGGCACAATTCAAACGGGATCGAAAGATAATCTTTCTCTCTCCATTGACTTCAATGCAAACTTTTTCCGAAATAAGGTCCCATGAGTCCCACCGGAAGGAGAGGGACTTCGCCTCTCTATAGGGGTGAGTGTAATAAGAAGGCAAAGTTGACGTTCAGTGTGTTGCCGGGAGCATATAAGGATTTATCCACGATGTTGAAAATGTTAAAAATGTTTAGAACATAAAGATAAAAAGGTTTAATGTTTTAAGGAGGTGACCCTACTCAGCCAATGAAATCGGTGCAGTCAGTGAGCAATTTCAAATGGCGTGCTCAAAAAAGAGAAAGGTAGACAGCGAAAACAGAGCATTTCATGACATTTTCTCTTATTGGACCTCTTTGAAATGCAATTGAATACCCCTGCATTATAGCAACAACAACAACAATAATAATAATAATAATAATAATAGCAGTAATAATTGGGAGGGGGGGGCGCGGCTGTTCTTATGTTCTCTGAGGGGAGGCTCACCTTCCCACACTTTGAAAACCCCTGCTCGAAGCTAAGAAAGATTGTTTGTTGTTTTTTTCTCGGAAATTTGTCAACAATAGTTGAATTCTTGAAAGGAGAAACATTAACATATATATAAATATATAAAATATATAGTTTAGACCACTAATACAATTGATGCATGTCCAGTCTAGGGACATTAGTGTCTTTCTGGACCATTAGAGACCGGGTCCTCAAACAGGGGGTCTGCAGACTCTTAGTCTGGCTCCAGCATTACTCTACATGGATACAGTCATTTTGAAGCAAATGTTAAAAACTGAAAGCTTGGGATTTAAAATAATTTGGAGCTTTAAATAATTTCAATAACACATTATTGATTTATGTATGCATTAGTTAAACAAGGAAACACTCCGGCACAGAGGCCTTTACAGTGCAGGGTCACAAAGGGAGGGGGAAATGCTCAGAATAAAATCACTTGTTCTTTCAAATGTTACAGAAGCATTGTCAGTAGTATTTGATGTGGTCTTCAGAGACTCCACTGTGGGAGGGGAGCAAAGACGGACCCAGAAATCCCAAACAGCCCGCCTGGAGAAACTGGTCTGGTGTGGGATGGACCTCTGCTCTGTGGGGGGGGCTGCAGTATCTGTCCCACTGCACCTTTAGTGTTCAGCGCTGCCGGGCCACTGTAGAGCAGATGCCTCAGGTGGGGGGGGGGGGTGGAGTAGCAGAAGCCTCGGGTCATGTCAGCCCCCAGCTGGAGCTCAGCAGCAGCAGCAGGGTGGAGGAGGAGGAGCAGAGCCGCAGTGCAGCGGCTGCAGACACACACAGCATGACTCACTACACTCTACACTCTACACATGCCAACCAGTCCATGTCATAACAATAGTAACATTAATATTTAAAATCAAAAGTAATTTATGAAAAAAGTGATTTTGGTAACTTTCGTTACAAATGTATCTTTCATTTACTGACTGCTGGTTTTATGATGAGTGAAAAAGATAATGAGCCCCTCCCAGCTGAGACTCTGCAATGATAACTGACTATTTGTTAAACATCATTTAAAATGGATTGTTTAATTGTGCATAATTGATGCAATATATATGTTCTTCATGTGATTATTTTATAACTTCATGGGATGTGACCATAGTGAGCTGAGAAACCTACCAACAACATGTCCTCTTCCTTTCTTCAGTCTTGGGTTGTCTGTAAAATACATAAAATAAGAAAACCATTGAGTTGGAGCTCACCAGACTAAGACAAAGGATTTCAACGCGTCACCTCACACACACTCACCAAACACGATAAGGCGGGTGTGTGTGTCTGTGGAGCCCAGAGGATTCTGGACCGTGCAGCGGAACATGGAGCCATTGAGCTCAGCAGGGACTCTGTCCAGGACCAGCTCTCTGCCCGCATGGTACTCCCTGCCATCCAGCAGGAGCCCCCCTACTCGGGTCCAGGTGTACATGGGCTCCGGAAAAACCTCACTCTGTGGACACACACACACACACACACACACACACACAGACAGACAGACAGACAGACAGACAGACAGACAGACAGACAGACAGACAGACAGACAGACAGACACAGAGAGACACAGAGAGACACAGAACAGATGATCTGTTACCTGCCCTGAAGCATCTGTTGAGGAAAGTCTTCAGTTGCTTTGTCAAAATGAATCAGCACATTTGCTCTTTAATCTGCAGATAAAGGGGGCTTATTTTTGACATGCTTTTATTTCTGTAGTCATAAGTATGTTTGGTCATGTTTAAGACGCTTTCTTCTTTTCTGATCCTCTCTTTCTCCCCTCCCCGCTACATTCCTGTTCCTCAGGTCCCTTCATGGCAGTCTGTCCCTCCACCAGATGCAATCTGCTTTCTTTCCTTTTCCCACCTAGTGATGTGGCGCCCGCGAACGAGCCGTTTCTTTTTTCTTTCTTTTTTTTATTAAGTAATACAAGACAGAATGATATGATGATCTCGGTGCTACGGGTGCTCCGTGCATGCAGTGACATGTAATATTAGAGACTGTTGGATGCTGCTGTTTTGAGCATTGCAATATATTTATTTTCATTATGTTATTTATTTATGATTATTTTTAGGCTCAGCAAAGATTTGTTGTCAGTTTGTATAGGTGTTGCTATCTGCTTTTTTTAGCGTGGTTCTACAATCAGAGAGTTACAAGGGTCTGTAAATGCAATGATTTAAGTGATATGTGTACACATATAAATCATTAGTCAAAACAGGGCTAAATTTGATTGAATTATAAAAGGTATATTTCGCAGATAAACCTATTAACCCCGCCCCCTTAAAAATAAAACGGCTCTTTTGAACGGCTCTCGCAAAGGAACGGAACCATAAGATCCGGCTCCCTTCAAAGAGCCATAATTCCCATCACTGCACCTGACCTTAAATACCGCCATCCTGTTCTTCTCGTACGTTACTACCAATTAAGGTTTGGCTGAGACATTGACACATGTTGTTATTAGTGTTTCATTTAAGTTAAATTGATGAAAATGTACACTTTACCTCGTTGGCATGCACAGTGACACACCATGACTTGATCTAGTTTCTTTCTTTTAGCAGGGCCAATATTTAGGACTGGCTTTAATTTGTGACAGGTGACCAACGACCAATGATAGCCTTATCACGGCTGCAGCTTAGGTTCTTCTGGGCCTTTCCACTTGGGCCCCGTCCACACGGAGACGAAACGGACACGAAAACGATTTCGAACCGAAGTCGATTTCAAAAAAGTCTTCCGTCCACACGAAATTGGCTCAAGAAACGTGTCCGTCCACACGAAAACGCTCGAAAACGCTGGAGACGCTGTAGTGCATATGCCGGGCCTGTAAGTGGCGCTGTACTTCCACCACAAAATACACCAAAAGCAGCGAATAAGACCGATGACGATTATTATTATTATTATATTATTATTGTTGCTGATGGTTGTGGTAGAGGAGCTGTAGATTTTGGACTAAAATCTGTATCATGGTCAGTAGCGTCTGGAGCACGAACGTAACCCTGTGATCCGCCATTGTTGTTGTGGTTGTTGGCAAAACGCATCAGCAGTAGAGTTGTGCAGTGACGCGTCCTAAAACCCGGAAGTAAGCTTCTTCCGGTTCCCCTCGACAAAAAAGCAATGCAATTTCTCCATAGGATTTTAGAAAATAGCTCGAAATAAGGTCTGTGGTTGACACACATTCAAGAGACAGATCACGCTTTGTTCAGTCGGATAATCTCCACATGTCTACCCTACTTTTATAATTTATTTATGATTATAAAATTATAAAAGTGACTGCACCACTCTATGACGAGGGGGTGAGCAGGAGAGGTGGGGAGAGGCGGGGCTATGGCGTCATCGTTTCAGGAAATGATCGTATAGGGCGTACACACGGAGCCGCAAGCGATTAGTCTCCAGACTTACCCACTTTGGGAGCCGTTATCAAAGTGTATCGGATTCGGGCTCCGAAGCCGCGTCTCCGTTTCGGCTTCGTGTGGACGAACCGTCTATACCAGTGGTCCCCAACCACCGGTCCGGTCCGCTTTTTAAAAAATATTATACAAAAATATTTTATTGATTTATTGATTATCAGTCTGAAAGACATTTAATTTTTCGCGTGCCGTGAGTTATTACAGTGATACCTTTTTCTGAACCAGCCCAACTCATGGAAAACCGCCCATCTGGCAACACTGAGCGCGAGAGCAGTCTGGACTCTGGAACGTCATAACGCTGTGATTTTCGTTTGGATTATTGGTCTGGGGGTAGCTTGCGAGTATGTGTGTGTGTGTGTGTGTGTTTGTGTATTTTTGTGTTTGTGTGTATTGTGTTTGTTTCCCGGGGAAAACACTCACGAGAAACACTGGCTGTTGTTATGCCTGCTGTGACGTTAAGTTACTCAGTTCTCCGCTTGTAATTATGCCGTTACAAGCTTCAAAGTTGTATTTATCATCTGAATTTGCCGAAACAAGTTTAATATTCTGAAAGCCAAGACTTTGTTTATTTGAATCAGGTGAAAACAAACTGTAACGGACCCTGCCGTGTTATCTATGATTACTATACGCCTTGCATTCATAATGTCAGCGGGAGGGAGGGGAAGCAGCGCTGCGGAAGAGCCCAGTGCGAGTGAGAGGTGCCTGTCATCTTCCCTACAAGCTTCAATTTTGGAAATAAAAGTTTCATATTCTGAAAGCCAATACTTTGTTTATTTAAAATCAAACAAAACACCCCAACCCCGAGAAACTATTTTTTTAGGCAAATCCACGTTTATTTTGAAATGAGCCGTTGCGACTTCAGACTGATTTCGATAGAGCGGTTAATATTTAACCCACAAAAAGCCCCGCTAAAAACAAGCTGAAAAAAACGAGTGCAACACAAACTTCTTTAAAGAGCTTACGGAGTAGACTGGACATAAGGAACACACTTCGGGTGTCATTGTCTCCCATTACCCCTAGATTGGACCGGCTTGTTGCAGAGACACAAGCTCCCACTAATTCAGCGTAATGGTGAGTTGTATTTTTATGCACTTTATATTTGTTTTTATGCCGGTGTTCAACTGGTTATTGTGTTAACTGGTTAGATCTGCTTACGCATTTACTTTGATTACCTCCTTCTTTTGCAGATGTGCGAGAGACTTTGAGACAGCAAACTGTGTTGAGTCAGTGTTTGAACGGGCAGATTGTCTGTAAACTGCAGCATATAAATGAAGCCTGCAATAAATAAATAAAATCGATTGAACTATAGCCGAGGCAATTAAGGTCTGAACCCATGCTTTGAAAAACGCTACTTTGCTTGCATGTTATCTAATCGTCTGTGCCGCGGTGCCGTTTTTTTTTTGTTGCAATTATATGCCTTTGTGGTGTGTTTGATGCAACATTCAACCCAATGGAAAATAGCTAACCAGTTAACACAATAACCAGTTAAACAGGAACACAGGTCGAAAATATGTTCTTACATGAAACCGGTCCGTGGCGCAAAAAAGGTTGGGGACCGCTGGTCTATACGATAGAGAACGTTAGCGGATACAACTGATATCGTCTCCATGTGGACGGGGCCTTAGTTAGGAGCCTAAGCAAAAAAGCCTATTTGTCCGCAACCCATATCTTTTATCATGACCCTCTGGAGACTTTTTATGAACTTGACAGAGTGATCCCTGTTCAAATAGCCCCCCCGTGTAGGAAACTCACGGCAGGAGGTCCCAGCCTGAAGCCCTGGACAGTGATCCGCACGGTGTCCCCCACCCTGGCCTTACTGGGGCTCATGGACAGCTTGGGTCCTCTGGGAGTAGCTGATAGAAAAATCAAACAGCATGTATGACTGATGATGTTCAGTGAGACATGCTTCACATTTCATTTGTGGGAATACAGGTAATTGTGAATTGTACATGTTATCTAAAAAAAGTTGTCTACCCACATAATAAGGATGTACCGCCCTGCTGAGATGAGATTGAACATGTCTCCCTCCTGTCATGTAACTTTGGTTCACCCAGTGAAGTGAAGCCGTACTAACTTTGCTCAAAGCTTGGCCTGACCCACTCAGGCATTCATTGTTCTCACTTCCCTTTGAGTTCATGGATTCATTACCCAGGTTAGTTCTTTGTAGCTCTGGATTTGATCTCCAAAAAGTGTTGCGTTTGCTGCAGCTCTGGGTATTCATCTCATTATTTCTCTTGAAACGGCACATCATCAGTGTCTGGACTGCCGGGGTTTCGTCTGACATGTCAGTACACTCTGCATATTTATTCTAACTATAACTAGTTTACCTTTCCATCACTGCTCTACTACTGTGGAACTCTTTCCTGACTGAAACAGCTCACTAAATATAACCTTGTCAATGGCATCATCTTTGTTTTACTGCCTCCCTCAGGAGTATTGTGTATAAAATGTCTTCAGCCTTACTTCTCGGAATACCTGCACTTCCTGAAGGTGACATGACTATGTAAGGCCTGTCACTCATGATTCCAAACCCCTCTAAGCTAAGGCTTAGAGGGCCCAACATCAGGGCCAAAAGTCTGAAAAATATAAACAAGTTTTCAAAGCAAAGAAATCCGATTTGTAAGTGAAATACGATCTGAACGAGAAACAAAAGTGCTCTGAATCTGAAAACATATCTGCATCTAAAAAAAAGAATTCCTCCAGTATCAAAATATAATTAAATGTGAAATGTTAAAACATTTTTTAAATCAAAACAAATGCTAAACTGATTCATAATAATATCCAACCTGAAAAAACGTAGTTAAACTTTAGTTTGAATATAGCATTGTATCTTTCAAATGTCAGGATCAAAACTTGAACTTTCAAATACATTTTATCTTTGGAATGATCAAAACTTTGGGCCCAGATTTGGCTCCATAGGTAGATGGGTGGGACCATCAGGTGAGGGGAGGAGATATTCAGAGTTGCACTGATACAGCAAGGCCTGATGGGAAAATGCGTCAGTCACCAACACTGCCTTAAAGTACTATGCTGCAGTGAGTGTACTGTTTAAGGCCATGATGCCTCCAAAGGAACATTTTTGTAAAAAAACTAAGTATATTAAGTTAACTAAGTAGAGGGTCGCTGTGCTCAGAGCTACGTCATGAGTACCAGGTCTGCTCTCATGCAAATTAATGCATTTAAAAATGATCAATAAAATGATGTTTTTGTTATATATTTGATATCATGGGTCCCTTTTGCTTTAAAAGCTGACTGTATAACGGTTGATGTGAGGCGGTGTGTGTGTGCAGGACTCACACAGTGTGACCTCGGCCTGCATGGGCATGGACAGAGCCGGGTGGTGCACCTCACAGCTGAACAGAGCCTCATTGTCCAGCTGGGGGTTGAGGCTCCAGGTCAGCATGGCCCTCACCTCCATGGTGCCGTCCCCTGCCGCCTGCTGATGCTGCTGGAAGTGGTAGAGCGGGTCGCTGCTCTGGACCCAGTGTGGAAACTCCCGGCTTACCACTGTCTCAGGGATCGCCTCGGTGGTTGTCTCGGGGTCTGATTCGGATTCCTGCTCTTGGCCCTTGTCTGAGCCCCGGGGGCCGTCCTGGCCCAGCCGAGCCAGCTTCCCTTCTAGTTCCAGCAGGGACAGGGACTTCTGGACTTTAGTGTCATCTAGGTCTCTACCGGTGAGAGCCCGGGAGCTCCAGCTCTTTTCCAGCCTTGGGCCATTTCTTTTGTCTTCCACTGAGGAGGAAACCTGGACAGTTGGCACCACATCAATCAGCTCCCCATCTCGCTTGAAGTACACCTGAAGGACAGGACAATGGAGGCGTGCTCAACAGGAACGCAGGTCATAAGTACAGCTGGTGGAAGGAGATGCTAAGGAGTCAACAGTGGTGTTCCATAGTGTGTGGTTGTTCACAGTGCAGGGAACAGTGAGGAGGAGGAAAGTGTGAACGTTTAAACAGGATTAACCAGAGGCCTGCCCACGACTGATGGCTGTGTCACTGTTTCTCCTAAAAATACTAAACCATTTATCATATCATCAGAGATTCAGGAAAAATTAGCAAATTAACTATCCAGTATACTTCTATTAAGTATGTAATCAATGTGATCTTCAGAGGAACTGTTTCAATGCCATGGAAACCAAATGATAACATGTCATGTTTAAAGTCATTGATATGGAGCGAGTTAATTTACCCTTGGCCCTATTGTTACCTTGAGCATATACCTTTTTATCAGGGACTGTGTATCTCTATTATTGATTTTACATTAGCATTTCAAAGCTATCTTTAAGATAATAAAGCGCTTTAAAATACATATATCAGACATTTACTACATCAATACTGTGGACAATACCCACAAGAGGGTGAAGTGTCTTGCCCAAGGACACAACGGCATGTTGACTGCAGTGGCGGTCAGGGCGGGATCGAACTACTAATAGTACCCTTTAATGTGTGTGTGTGTGTGTGTGTGTGTGTGTGTGTGTGTGTGTGTGTGTGTGTGTGTGTGTGTGTGTGTGTGTGTGTGTGTGTGTGTGTGTGTGTGTGTGTGTGTGTGTGACCACTGACTGAGGGCAATGATGTCTAACGGCCCAGATCCCACTGAGCAACACGGCATGGAGGTTAGTGCACAATGCAACACTTCTTCGTCATCATGTGCAAAGGCTGAAGCTGCGTCTACGAAGGCTAAAGATGTTTAGATAACAGGCCAGAAAATTATCTGTCCTGGAAAGCTAGCTTCTGCAATGCCATAGAGGGCTTGAACTTGAAACCTGAGCCGTTTCTCAAAGTCGAGGACGCTTCCTTGGTAGGACATGTCCTTCCGAGTCAGGTCCTTCAGAGGCTAGGCAAGAATCATTCCTAGCATTCGGAGAACGAAGAATGGAACAGGCTAGCACCTCACGATGTACCTAGCTAATTATGAACTTGCTTTACTTTCACGGAACACATTTATGGTGATAACAAATTTAACAAAGTAAATATTTACCAACACATTTACTACGCCACTGAACATACTTACATTTAAATGTGTACTGCACGGATTCAGCCATTTTCTGTCAAAGATTTGGGAAATTGGTCCATGCGCAAAGAATTGTGGGTCATTTAAGACCGCCGAGCATGGGCGTAGGAAGCATCCTAAATGTGGGGGGGACATTTTTAACGGGGGGTGTGGGGGCGAAAAAAAATATAGATTTCCTGTATTCTGGTGCATTTTAACAGGTGGTTTGATACTTTTATGTGGCTATACTAGCATGAGGAAAATGATGGGTACATTTTGTAATTTCATCCAGTAGTAAAGAAAGGAAACATATTTGATTATTAATTCAGAGCTGTCTTTGAATTAATAAAAAGCAGTTTAAATGCCCATTTTTTGTACATTTATATACAACAATAAATATTTGTGAGTGCATTGAGAGATATTGTTGTGGAGAGTCATTTATATATAAATCGCAAAATACATTTGTGAATCCTTCTGTGAGCATTTATTAATATTGAGACTGATCTGACTCCATACGGATGTTAAGTTCACCTAGGAATGGTATCATTGACTTAAATGTTCAAATAAATGTTGCTCTTCTGTCTATATTGGTCATATGATGCCCCTTGACTGAAATGTTTCCTGTTCAATATCCCCACTGATTTCCTTAAAATCCTGGGATGAGAGTCCACATCACAATTTACTCTCAACTGTCATTTCCCTTTCATCACTCACCTCAGCAATGGACCTCTCTCCACTGTCCCTGTATTCTGCCTCTGACTCACTCTCAAGCGCCTAGATGTCAAGAGAGGTGGTGAAGTGATAATTATTTATTGAGCAGTATACTCTTTCACATTGAATCATAACAAGTCATACTGAATGTAAATACAACTGACTCTAAAGTAAGTCCCAGTCTGTGACATTGGACATTTTGAAGACTCAAAGTCCCAAGCAGTAGGTATCTCTCTACCATGACATAAAGACGAAACTCCTCTCCAGAAGTGAGACGCCGCCATCACTGTTAACTGATACCAGCTGATGACTTACTTTCCTCTTCTTTGAAAAAAATGTTCTTATGCCCATGTTGTCTGGGGGAGAAAACATATCAAACCAAGAGATCGTCAGCTTTGATTTTCGCTGTATTAACCATTTCCCGAACATTTGGTGTGTGTGCCTTACCTCCGCCACCGGCATCGCTTCATACAACAGATCTGAGCTGTCCAACTATGACAACACTCCTTGAACATGCGCGCGCTATGTGAGAATCTGCCTTGGTACGAAGTAGCAGTGAAAACATGGTACGGAGTTTCATTGATTTGGGCATTCTCTCAATAAGAAAGTGGAATGGATTTCATTTGATAGTGAAGCACTGACACAGCGCTCTACAAAGTGCGGCGAGTGAATAGACCGATTCACGGACTTTCCGCATAGTAAAAGTGGGGGGGTCTAAACTAATAATTTGAAAAAGTGGGGGGGACTTGTCCCACCCTCATATAATGGCTGCGACGCCCATGCCGCCGAGGATACACATAAGCAGCCTTGACATTTTCTGCAACGAAGGATTCAGTCCTCGGTAGATTTCCAAGGATCCTGTACATTGGAACAGTCCTTCGGCGGGATTCGATGACGTAGAATCCTTGAAATAGAGGCTCTGAAGGATCCTTCCTTGACATTGAGAAGCAGCTCTAGTGTGGAGCTAGACTTGCTCACAAAGTGGCTCGACAGGGAGTCACTGCAGCTTGTTAAAAGAATGTGTGCTGTCAACATCAACTATCCTATGACTGGTCTTAACATGGTGCGGCAACGGTTAGATACAAACAGTGGCGAACCGTGTCTATCACAACTGGACCTTCTGTAGACACACACACACCCCCCGCCGCCGCAAAATCATGAATAATGACTTTCAGCGGCTGCAGGAACTTGCAGATCTGCTCCTTGAAGTCGAACCTGCTAGACCTAAAAGGTTACCTACCAAGCCTAAGCTTCCGTGACACATCTAGAGACAAGCTAAAGACTGTAAAGCTGACATCAACGGCTTAGAGTGCGACAGTAATCGTCACATCTCAGCTCTTCATGCTGGTCCACCCAACTGGGCAGCATCTGGTCCCAGCACATCTCCCGCAAAGCATGGCTTTCCAAGACCAACTTTCTAATCCTGCTCCAAAATAACTTTGGTCAACGTCTATCCTAAACAGTGTTGGGTGTAATGCCTGTATGGCCTTCGTCCTCAATGGCTGCCGCCACGTCGCCTCCACACACTGCCAGATATCTGGCAACGGGGGCGAGACGAAGGCCGGCTGCGCCGGATGCACCGGGCCGTAAAACCCCTGTCGAAGGCGGCTTACTGGCCTCGGTGGCAGCAGGGTCATCACCGCCGGGAAGTCCAGACGCGCAGACCTGTGTGCTGGATCCTCCTGGCCGCCGGACCCGAAAGTACCAGACAACGAGGCGTCCTCGTCGTCTTCCTCCTCCGTGAACGTGGCCACCCGGCCCCTCGGGATGGCGAACATGAATGACACCTCGTCATCCTGTTCACCCATCTCCACCACCTCAAGGTCCTGATCCTCCGCCTCCTCCAGCGGGCCGAACTTCACCCGGAAATGATCCCCACGATGTCGGTGGCTTAGCCCAGGGATCATCCGGCAGGCGTTTACAGGCCGGCGACTGGCTTAGGCCATCCTCTACGTGGTCCGGCCCCAGGCATTGGAAGCACAGGCGGTGCGGATCAGCCCCCGCGATTAGGCCAGGGCATGTCGGACAGGTCCGGTGTTCGAGGAGTGGTGAGTCCATGCTTTTCTTCTTTTTCCTTTCTCATTTACTGCTCAGGTTGTTTAATCCTGCTCGCTGAAGAGAAAAGGATGACAGTCAGGAGGCGAGGCCTCCTTTTATGCGGTGAGATGCACGCGCATTCAGGTAGGCCCGCCCCGGGGCCGGCTACATTTATAGAAGTCTCAGTGGATGAATGCTTGCATGATATGATCAAGGGGTAGTACCCATAGAGTCCAGTAGAGGGCGGAGCCTGTGAGAGATATAACTGTATTTTTCTTTACCGTTCTGTTTTAATTTCACAATAAAGTTAATAGTAATATTATGTTTGATAGTATTATGTTTTATTAACTAGACCACTGGGTCATGTTAAGACTTTTCTGTCGGTTTGGTGTTTCAAATATCAAAACAATATATGTGTGGATAACAAAATAAATCCGTCATAAACTAAACTGGAAATTATACTTGAAAGTATAATTTATTGTGTTAACACTGTAAACTTGACAGTTTTTTTACCCGCACCGCCTAGTGGTTAAAGCACGTTATTGAATTTTTTTGTTGAATGTGTTATATTTGATGAAAACATTTAAATATTAAGAGTAGCCTACATACAAAATAGGGGGAAAGTAGAAGGTCAATGATAGAAATATAGAATCGCTATTCTGACCTTAGCTGTCATGTGGGTATATATGAATGCTGTCCATTATGGACACAAGCAATTTTCACCCATTTATTAATTATATGTTTTAAATTTGATAACACCACTGTGTTTCCCATCCCCTAAACCTCCAGGGATGTACACAGTTTAATAATGGCAACTTCTAATTATGGGAAATACGAAAACGTCTTTTAAAACTACAATTCCCAGTAGAGACGTGCCATAGAACATGTTGCGAAACACAATTAGCCAGCATGTGTAGTTCTGGGGGGTGGGGGGTGGGGCTGGACCCGTTCAAGTCCAGTTTTGGATAGTCTGCCGTGGTTTCATTCCATTTCAAAGAGCTGTTTGACGCTCGGCGTAACCTTGGCGCACTGCCACTCCAACATCCAATCACAGAGCTT